CAGGTGACAAACATTTTAAAATTAAAAAAAAAAAAGAGAGAGAGAGAGAGAAAAAAACACACAAGAGGCATTACCGATTTTTCCAGGCTGTTAACTAAAAGATGGTATAATTTACCTCTTTTGAATTCTATAGAAGATCTCATTTTCCCAGGGAGAAATTGGACCACTTTAACCTCTGGTCATGGCTGCCATCCAAGCAGTTTATATAATCTATCTGGGAAACTGGAGATTGTTCACATCTGACCTGGCAGTCACAAAAGGGCCACATCCTGTGGAATTATCCACGCTTAGTTCTTAGCTCTTCCTCAGAACATTTCTGGGATGTGGTAATGTCAAGTAAACTCTTTACTTAGTCTTACTCATTACTGTTTATTTATATATTTTTTAAAGATACAACACAAATTTATTATTTTACAGTTTGTTTGGGTATTTTTTTGTTCATAATTTGACCAGAGAGGGAGAGAGTGAGAAAGCAAGCCACCAGGTCTGGGACTTGAACTGCAGTTGGCCATGTGGAAGTCCAGCATCCTCAACCATCACGCCATCTGCTGGCCCCATGTTTGTTTATATTTATATCCTTACATACTTTAAAAGAATATACAGTGAAGGGACCAGCAGTTAGTGTAATGACTATGTCGCTGGACTCCCATGTAGTCAACCGCGGTTCACGTCCTGGACCCAGTGGTTTTAAACTCACGCCGGGCGCGTGTGTGTGCGTACCCAAGATCCCGTGAAGAAAACAGAGAAGGGATTGAGGCATGGCCATCCCCCCGGGGGGTGATTTCTGGCTTTCTATCTGTCTGTCCCTGTCTGGCTAGAGCACACGCCCTATAGCAAAAACCTCTCAAAAAACAAACAAACAAAAAAGAATATACAGTGAAAATTAAGTCTCCTTCCTATCCCCTGCACCCCAGCTTCCCAGGTCTCCTTCCTATCCCCTGCACCCCAGCTTCCTTGGGTTCTTTTATTAAATTATTTATTTAATTTTATTTATTCATTCATTTATTTTCATTTGACCAGAGAGAGAGAAAGTGAAAAAGCAAGCCACCAGGTCTGGGACTTAACAGTCATCAGCCATGTCCAGCATCTTAACCACCACGCCACTTGCTGACCACCCAGGGTTCTTTTTTTAAGCACTACTGTTACCAGTTTCAGTTTTAATACACTAGAATTGATCAGAATAGTAGCAGTGTGCCATCTCATATCTTCCTGACTGAGACAATTATCCTTCCTGTTATGACATAATGAAGGCTTATTTGTTTTGCAATACTAGAAGAATCTACAAAAAACTGAAAGATAGGGTAATGAGAAGGGAACTAGGGTTCGCTTATACTAACTTTGAAGATGGCTGAATGTATTTGAAAGTGTTACTCAGTATTCTGAGCCCCCCCCCCAATGTCCTATCTTTTGAAATCACTTTCTTTCCTTTTGAAATAATTAAATTATCTAAATTAATGCACAAGAATAAAAATGCCCATCTTGACTCAACACCTAGAATGCATGGGGTCTTCAAAAAGTTTATAGAAAGTAACAATTAGGAGAAAGACGGCACAGCCTTCAAACTTTTTTTGCACCAAAATAAACTTACACTCCCCACCCTCATTCATGATTGAGTGCATGCGTGTGCCCGTGAGAGTGACAGAGAAAGCCAGAGACAGAGAGAGGAACATCTTCATGATGGTGGTCATCCATGATCCCCTCCCTTCTGTCCTCCAGCCCCATTGGGTCTCGGGCAATTGCACATGTACCTGGCGTGTTTCAGGCTGACGGGGCAATACATTACCACTATGCCACAGAGCTGGCCCTTGTACTTTCATTTCATTTTTCCATGAACTTTTGGAAGTCCTTGCATATTTGAAAATACTCTGATTCAGGGACCAGCAGCTATAATGGACATGTCGATGGACTCCCATGTAGTCGACCGCAGTTCGAGTCCTGGACCCGGTAGCTTAAACTCATGCCAGGCACGTGTGTGAGCCCAAGATCCTGAGAGGAGAAAGGAGAAAGGATTGTGGCTTTCTGTCTCTCTGTCTCTCTCTTTCTGGCAAGTGCACACGCCGTATAGCAAAAACCTCTTAAAAAAAAAAAATCAAGATTACTGTGATCTAAGAGGAGCTAATGTTTTTTCTTCTCTTTTAACAACATTTGGGGATACTATGTACTTTCTTTCACTAGGACTCCTGCAGAGGTCACAGACTCACAGACAATTGTTAAATGCCCCCGCACAATGGGCACACCTACACCCACCAACAAACTGATGCTTCCCAGGAGCCACGTCATTGTGGCTTACATTTCTTATGAATTCCAAAGACATCTTGTGCTTTAGATCTATGTGACTCATAAGAACTGAAAATGGCAAGAAGTGAGGGGAGTGTGTGTGTCTTCGTGGGGGTGAACAGTACTTCTCTAAATGGTGATAAGGCAGAAATGAGGTGATGGGAGTAGATGTCCACAAGTTATCTTCAGTTCTCTCAGGAGCTCTGAAATTCTAGGCCATGTATCTATCGACAACTCTCCTTTGATTCTACTGAGCGATTTTGCAGAGTCCAGGCATCTTTTTGTGACCTGTTTCAGCCTAGAAAATGGTTATGATACTAGCAGACAGAGGCGACTCGGCAAAATGATTTTTTTTTAGAGGTTTTTGCTATAGGGCGCATGCGCTCGCCAGACAGACAGAGAGAGACAGAGAGACAGAAAGCGACAAGTCCCCCCCCCCCGGGGGGATGACCATGCCACAATCCCTTCTCCTCCATTCTCCTCTCGGGATCTTGGGCACGCACGCACACGCGCCCGGCGTGAGTTTTAAGCCACTGGGTCCAGGACGCGAACCGCAGTCAATTACGTGGGAGTCCAGTGGCATAGCCATTATGCTAACTGCTGGTCCCGGCAAAATTAATCCTCTTCTGTCCCTTGCAAGTCCTCTAGTCTTCTGCCTCTGAAGATGTCTTTCCCAGAAGTTCAAGTTCGTGGGGAGGAAAAGTGCAGCTGATTTTCCCCTTGTTCCTGTACCTTTCTACCTGTAGGGTTCCTATAAAAGACTCCCTTGAGTTAGTAAGGAAATCCTCGCCCTGGAGTTAGTAAGGAAATCGTGCTGAAGAAGGGTACACCCTCCTGTAGGCCAAGCCATGGAGGCTTCAGAACAGACAATACCAGAGGTAAGGAACAGGATTCTCGGGAATATTTTCTAATACATTTTGTGAAGAAAATAAGTAGGGAACAAATTTCAGACTCCAGAGAGGAGAAACTCTCAGAGTTTTCTGTTGACCCCAAACTATGAGTCAAGTCACATAGCCAAAGAACCAGACAGACAGAAAGACACACCAAAAAGAAAACCTCCAGCTTCCTCTTGAACAGAATTTGCCCATGCTCTCTCCACTGGGCAGAAGGTATTAAGTCTCGGTTTCCTTTTGCCAACTTTTTAACTCAGACTTCATTTTCTATCTGGTTACACCGCAGTGCCAACAGATAGTACCACGTACATTTTTCTTTACTCAATCAAACTATAATAGTAATTTTGTACTTATGCAATCACTGGGCTAAAGTCTATCTCTCCAGCTAAACTGCAAGCTCTTTGAGGGTGGGGGCCTTACCTGTTTTGTTGAATATGAGTTCTTACCTGTATGAATTAATACATGATCCTAATTGTCCACCAATCCTGATGTTGGATAAAAGTCCACCCTAGTTAGAAGGAGACCTCATTTTCTGACACTGAGCTGGTCTCCCTTGCATTCAGGTCATGGTTACTGAACAGCTGGGGGTGCCAGGCAGATCCCCCACTGACCAAAGCAACCAGCTCTGCTTGGGTTATGGAGCATTTCTCAGACAACCAGGCCTCATAGAGAAGCTGATAAAGGAAAAAGGAAGTCAAAGACACAAGTCTTTGATTTTTCTGTCTTCAGAAAAGGCTCAAAAGAAGAACTAGGAGCCACGCCCCCTCTTACTTCTACCTCTCCGGTCCCATCAAAGGATCAGGCAGTGGAAACATTAGTGCCAGTGTTACCTTCAATGGACTTTTTACTTTAAGCGAGGCAAAGCCAGATTGGACAACCAGAAGCCAAGTCCTAGTCCTATATCCACTCGTTTTGGGTTTTTCCACACTGAACCACCACACCACTCTGAGTTAGCTGGATCCACACACTCCCAAGGTAGACACTAAGTTGCGGGCCTTTCCCCTGGGTCCCTCCCACTGCGAGCAGCCCCATGGACCGATGGAGTGTGCATGCGGCGTCGCTAGCGGCCGGGGGCAGAGTTCAACCCACCTTCCAACTCGGCAAAGCCCAGCACCACGTCTGAGGCTCTCCCCTGCCTGTCTTTGACCTCCAGAGCCGTAATGGGGCAGCCCCAGGAGATGATGTCCACTCTCAGCAGGTCTGACTGCAGCTGGAACTTCTCCACGGTCCCTGCCCCTGAGGGCAGTTCTCCGAACACGGATCTGGTCACCGAAACCATGGGGAAAGTTCAGGGCGCGCAGCTACTCTCAGTAAATCAAACTCCAGCAGCCAAGCTGGAAGACACGTGTTTACAGGAGAAGGGGCGTGACCCCGCTCAGTCCCCTCCCCTTCCTTGCCGGGATTTAGGGAGTGGCCGCCTCTGCGAGAAAGAAATAGCCTCTGAGGACTTTCTAAATCCTTCCTTTGTCCGGGAGTGACAGGAAGGCACACTCCCGCCAGGCTTGCCGCTCTGTCCCCTTGCGAACCCTGGCTGCATTGCCTGTTGGGAATGGTAGTCTTTGGGAGGTGAGATTGCTTTCTGGGGCCGTAGTCTTTCTAAGCCTAAACCTGAGTCTGCAGTGTTCTATCTGCCGGCAGTGAGCTGGTCATTAGTTTTGGTGGCTGACTTTGAGAAATGCCTGAGAATGCAGAGAGCAGAATTAGGGACAGTGAAATGGGTGTTGGGCAGAAGTTCAGGTTTTAAAATGAAGACTTTAATCCAGGGAGCAAGAAATACAGTGGTAGTTTAGAGATTGTGGACAGAAGTCTGACTGCTTTTTCCTATTTTTCCAAAGTCCTTTCCAGAAGGCCTAGGGGGAGTCATGGCCACAAACATTAACAGACCATTTTTTCCATTAACAGGATTCTCCCTACCTCCTGTCCCTGGCATAGTATCTTTGAGATGTATATTTTAACTGGTTACAGAATGTTCTTTTGCTTGTCTCTTCCCAAGACACAGAACTTCCCTTTCCTTGAGATGTAGATTAAGCATTTCTTTTATGAATCTCTTCCCTTCCAATCACCAACCTAAAAACTGTGGAACCCACCTATAACCTACAAACTCCCGGTTCCACATGCCCCACCTTTTTGGGCCAGACCAATTTTGTCTTCACCAATTTTGTCTGTCACTCTCAAAAATCAAATAAAAGGAACCCCTGTACCTGATCACCCTGAAAAAGGCATGTTTGCCTCCTCTCCAGGCCTAGGTCACTCATATTCAGGTTGGAAATAAACCGCATTAATTATTCATTATTAATTTTTTTAGGGTTGATTATTTTCCATCAACAAGATCATTACAGACATCTCTGCACACCGATTGACAGGATGCCCACTCTTTTTGCCACAGGGTGAACCCTGGACATGGTTCTGGGAGCTAATACCTGGAAGGTTCTGCTGACGGCCAGCCTGGAGCAGTCGCACATACAGGGTCAGGCAGGTGGGATAGGCCTTCCTTCTATGGACACCATCAACACAGTTGCAGACTCTTTTTTTTTTTTCAGGGGACTGGAAAGAGACATAGGCTATCAACCCACTCCTGAAGTCCAACATTCCGTTAAGAAGGGGTTAAGGGAATATTTATTGAGGTTCCTGTAAACACTGGGTACTATACCTTTGTTGTCTCCTTTTTCACGAATACAAAGAAGTCTTTAAGTTTGTACAGTTAGGAGAGGAAAGGCACTGAGATCATTAAATAATTGTTCTTAATATGCCTCAGAATTATCTGAAAAATTTTTAAGTGCTTATTTCCAGTAGCATCTCTGGAATTTCTAATTCTGGGAGTCTAAAGTGAGACTCAAGAGTCTGCATTTTTCACATTCCCCGAGCTATTCTAATGCAGATTATCTGGATATAGGCTCAAGGAAATGTGCTCTGGCCTGCCCTGGTAGCCCAGTAGTAAAGCTCTGTGACTCTGAGGCCACACGGGAAGGGCCTGAATTTGAGTCCTGAGGACTCCCTGTGCACACCTACATGTGTGCGTGTGCCTGTGGTGTGAAGACCCTAAGGGGGAGGGAGGTCTCTCTCACTCTCTGAAGAAATAAGCTTTAAAAAGAGAACTATTGCTTTAAGATTTGATGACTAATCTCAGATTTTCTTGTTTTTTTTTAATAATTTTTTTTTCAGTATGATTTTTTTTGGAGAAGTTTTTGCTCTAGGGCACGTGCGCTCTCCAGAAAGACAGAGAGAGACAGAGAGTCAGAAAGCGAGAAATCACCCCCCCGGAGGCGGGGTGGCCATGCCACAATCCCTTCTCCTCCATTCTCCTCTTGAGGTCTTGGGCACGCATGCACACGCACCTGGCACGAGTTTAAGCCACCAGGTCTAGGACTCGAACCATGATCAACTACACGGGAGTCCAGCGACATAGCCATTAGGCCATCTGCTAGTCCCTTGTTTTTTTTTTTTTTTTTCTCCTCTTAGCTGGACTGGAGAGAGACAGAGAGAGAAAGGGTAAGTGAGAACGCAAGCTGCCAGGTCCAGGACTCAAACCATGGCCGGCCATGTGGCAGTCCAGTGCCATCATGCCATCTACTGGCCCTCAGATTTTCTTTTAAAATAGGCTCTAATAGCAGAGGACCAAGATAAAGCTGCTAAAGATCTCAATAGGACTGGGAGATAAAATGCAGACACCTATGTATTTCTTGGCTCAATCTGGCAATTCTAGAAGAGTAGTGGGACTCAGAAGTGAGAAGGTGCTGGAAGCCTGAAGACAATTTTATCCAACCCATCTGCACAATCTTGGTCTTTGTATATCAATGCATTTGGCCTGATTCCTGGATACTTAAGAGAGTATCCAAAGACTTGGGTGAGTGTGAAATGCATTTATGATCAGGAAATTAGGAGAATAGGTGTAAAAAAAAATAGCCTGAAGTGATTCATTTTCAAGAATAGCTCAGCAAAAGTTGCTTAACCAGATTGTAGATGTGACAAAACATTCCCTAAATTTCCTGAACAAACATAATCCAGAAACAAGTCACCCTTGAGAAACGACTTGTCAAGATGGTGGCTGAGCACAAGCCTTTTGCTCCTTTTTACTTCTCCCTCCTCAGGACATTTTGGTGGGCCTTTTTCCTGGGATTGTCCTGATCCTACACCTTAATACTTAATAAGGGAATAAAAAAAAAACAACCTAGGCCACATCTGGGAAGATTATATGCTCACAGTACTCAGCCAATGAGGAACTAGGGGAGGTTTAGGGAATAAATTACTTGTAACCAATTTGGGCATGCCTGCCTGTCAGACAACTGATCTTGCAAGACTGCCATTAAAGTTTTGCTTCTCTGTACCCGGTGTCTCTATGTTCATTCTTTGACATTGAACAGGTGAGTGTGTTTCTCACATTGGAATCAAGTTCCCGGAATCAGATGCTAATCAAACTTAATAACCACACTTAACCTGGTCTGTCTGCGTAGTTCAAAGGGGTATTTAGCATTCTCACCACAAAGTCTTAATTCTCCATCAGGATGCAGGGGAATTCTGATAGCAAAGGAAAGAGAGCTTGCAACAGGTGTTAGTGAAGCATAACCTACAACGACAAAAAGATCCGAACAAGTTAGAGGCCGCACGACACCCAGACAATCACCCACAGGCCCCCGAGTGCTGGTTCATCAGAAATTCTCCTAAACTCTGCAAGTCTCATCGGCCCACTTCACATTTGTGGTTGATTCATACTCAAGCCATTTTGGCAATGCTGTGTTAGCAAGAATGTCTTTGAATCTCTTCTGTGAGCAGGAACACTGAATTTTTTTTCTCTCAGTCTCCAGTTCTCAGTGTTCTGCCAAGCTCATGCTGTCACAGGAAGAAATAAGCGCATTGGAGTGGCCAACGCCAAATGTGACTGGGGGAAGTCTTATTGCTCTGTCAGACAACTGATCTTGCAAGACTGCCATTAAAGTTTTGCTTCTCTGTACCCGGTGTCTCTATGTTCATTCTTTGACATTGAACAGGTGAGTGTGTTTCTCACATTGGAATCAAGTTCCCGGAATCAGATGCTAATCAAACTTAATAACCACACTTAACCTGGTCTGTCTGCGTAGTTCAAAGGGGTATTTAGCATTCTCACCACAAAGTCTTAATTCTCCATCAGGATGCAGGGGAATTCTGATAGCAAAGGAAAGAGAGCTTGCAACAGGTGTTAGTGAAGCATAACCTACAACGACAAAAAGATCCGAACAAGTTAGAGGCCGCACGACACCCAGACAATCACCCACAGGCCCCCGAGTGCTGGTTCATCAGAAATTCTCCTAAACTCTGCAAGTCTCATCGGCCCACTTCACATTTGTGGTTGATTCATACTCAAGCCATTTTGGCAATGCTGTGTTAGCAAGAATGTCTTTGAATCTCTTCTGTGAGCAGGAACACTGAATTTTTTTCTCTCAGTCTCCAGTTCTCAGTGTTCTGCCAAGCTCATGCTGTCACAGGAAGAAATAAGCGCATTGGAGTGGCCAACGCCAAATGTGACTGGGGGAAGTCTTATTGCTCGGCTTGATAGAAAATGAAACATACTGAAATGTCTTCTCAGATGTCAGGAGTACAGCTCTTGATTTCATTTTCCTTTTGCTTTGAAGGTTTAACAAATGTCCTGGTTAGGACCTCCTTATGTTTCAGCCAGCTGTCAAGCACAGACCCTAATTTTTCTTACCCACACATCCCATTTTCTGAATCTAACGGTGATACACTAAAGGCTTATTTGAACACTTAAAACACACACACACACACACACACACACACAAAAAAAAAACTAACTCTAGGTCAAAGGGAAAATGCTCTTCAGGGAGGTCAGAAGTAAGATAATAATCTATAAAGTGAAGCATTGTCAAATCCTAGGAGGTATTTACTTTTGTTTTGGGGATAGAGCCTGAGGGTGGCTATGAGGTAAAGGGTCTGGGGATTACGATATTTATATAAAAATGGAATTACCCAAAATAGATATCTTTTCCTGCAATCAGAGGGAGACATGTCAGGGTGGACAGGTGTAAAATAATATCTGTCTCTTTGCAGCTGGAGGTTAGTCCCTACAACTGAGGGTTCGGGGGAATCAGGCACAAGGAAATTTGAGCCCTCGGCCCCTGCACCCACCTCTTCACTCTGGGTAGAAGAATGTGTTTTGGAATTTTTTCGACCTTTAGTGTCATTAAGATGACTCCAAAACCTTAAGCTATTGACAGGCTACTATGCAGGGGAATTTCACTGAGTTGTAGTAAGTAAATTTGGGGCATGCACACATGTCTGTTGTATTTTTCAAGCCTCCACGGTAATGTGCTGCTCGAGACCAGCTGGACCCCACATGGCAACCCGTTAAAATACCCAGCCTGGCTGACCTGAAACACACCAGATGTGTGTGAGTGCCCAAGATCTCAAGAACTTAAGGACTGGAGGAAGGAGATTGTAGAACGACCAGACCCTGGGGAGGGTGTTTCTTT